CCATCCCCCTGGCCTCAGGATTGACTCGGGCTGACATGTGACCACCTTGGGCCTGGGAGTGGCCGGGGCTGGGGATTCGGTCTGAACCGTCAGCGCCTGTATTTCCGTCGAAATTGAAGCTGTGAGCACCTGCCCCTGGGGCAGCTGCAGCCTTCTTGTCCCCATGAGGGAAGAACCTGTTAGATAATGGAGTCCACATAGAAAAGCAGGACTGAAGGATAGTGTGTTAGTTTCCTGTGGTTGTGTAGCAAATTACCACAAATTTGGTGGCGTCAAAACGACAGAAATTTATTCTCCCACAGTCCTGGGGGGCAGAAATCTGACATCAGTATCAGCCGCTGAAATCAATATGTTGGCAGGGCTGAGCTCCCTCTGGTGGCTCTAAGGGAGCATCTATCTCCTTGTCTTTTGCAGCATCTAGAGCTGCATTCCTTGTATTCTTCGCTTATGGTCCTTTCCCGCATCTCCAAAGGACTGGTAACATCTTACTGTTTCTCTTATCAAGTTAACATCTTTTTTTTTTGTTTAGAGGCAGGATCTTGCTATGTTTCCCAGGCTGGTCTCAAACTCCTGGCCTCATGCAATCCTCCCACCTCAGCCTCTGGAGTGGCTGCGATTATAGACTTGAGCACAGCGTGCCCACCTCCTAAATTAACATCTTTAACCTATGCTCATTTTACCAAATTTGCATGACAGCCATGATTTTAGCGTTAAAATGTTTTTCTTTAACAGCGTCTCAGTGGCTTGACATGACAGGTTTATTTTTTGCTCATGTCACAGACTGAAGTGGGTTAAGTGGCCCTCCTGGAAGGCTGCCCCCCAAACAATAACTCAGGGCCCAGACGCCTTTTATCTTGCATCTCCACCATTCTTTATGGCCTCTTAGAATCTTCTGCTGAATCTCCTCTCCAGCTTGCTGATGAGCGAGAAAGTGGTATGTGACGCATAAAGTCCATCACTTCTGTCCCCATTCGATTAGCCAGAAGCCAGTTCCAAGGTCCAATGTAACTTCGAAGGTAAGGGGAAAATGCAGGTTCCCCATCACATAACAGAAACACTGTGCTAGCCTGGAGTGCTCAGAAAAACTGTTACAAAGTAGACTAGGCAGGTATGAAGATAACTACTCGGCCCTGGGAAAAGTGCCCAGCACTTCTTTCTTGCCATGAAACCGCGCTCAAAGTGGCCCTGACTGCTTTAGAGCTGCTTTGGTTGTCCTGTACTGCCCTTTAGCTAATTATAATACTAAAATCCCCACCTAGTGAAAAATTGTAACATCTTTAACATAACATGGGCTGCATGATGGCGTATCATGATGGTACTGCAGGATTTGTTTCACTGGAACAAGCAAAGATACCTTGTAAAAACTTCGCATTACTCACTGGGAAGAGATTTAGAGCAACACCACAGGGTGCACAGATGCAAATTTTGCCCGCAAGAAAGCTCCCGTGGAAGAAATTCCTGTGCGGCCGCCGGGGAGCAAGCGCCCTTGTAAGTGACCTCTAATCAACTCTCTAACTCATCAAGCTGGACTTGTCTGAATCATTCTTTGCTGTCTCAGTTCCCTCTCAGTTTGGGGAGTGGTTTTTTTTAATGCCATCCCTGGATTTCCCCCCGAAAAAGGGAAGTTGGGGAATGTGGGCTTGTGAGTGCAGGACAAGAAAAGGAGACGGTGGGGCATTTCAGTCCATCTCTTCAACAAGGACCCACACTTGTCCTCTTCACGCTGAAGTTCATCATGAAAGCACTCAGAGTAAGATAACCCTCCACCCTCACCAGGTTTTTCTGGTGATCTGTAGTGTTTGAGTCCCCCCAGAGGCCTCCCCATGGCCTCTGCACTCACAGGGGTTCTCCCCAAAGAACTCCCCAGTTTTCACTGGACTGAGGCTCCCATGTGCCCAGGCTTGCCAGCTCCTTGCCCACACGTACTCTCTGGTGCTTGATGAGGTTGAGCCACCAGCAAAGGCTTTTCCACATGCCTCTCACTCAGTGTAGCAACCAGCCTCCAAGACGCCAGCAATCCTCGTTTGCCAGCATTCACACACTTGTTTGTGCAGTCTTCTCCTACATTGAATCAGGGATGGTCTGGGTCGCCAACAGAATACAGCAGAAAGGACAGTATGTGACGTGGACTCTTGAATCACTCTTATTGGAGGAATTTAGCTACCAGCTCAGGAGGCCACTCAAGGCCGGGTCCTGTGGAGAGGCCCACATAAAGAGGAACCGACTCGCTGGCTCCTCCAGCTGTCAGATGGTGGCAGCCTCAGCAGACGTGTTGGCTTCAACCTCATGAAAGACCCTCAGCCAGAACCACCCGGCCGCGCTGCTCTTGAATTCCTCACCCACTGAAAATGTGCAAGGTGATAAATGTTTATTCTCATGTTAAACATTACATTTTGGGGTAATTTGTGAGCAGCCATGGACAGCCATGGTCATCTAATGGCTTTGCTACTAAAGGGAGATGAGGGGAAGAGTATATTTAACATACATCAGGAAGATTCACACATGCCAAGTATCAGAATCACCTGGGTCACAGTCGGGACCTTCCAAACCAACAGCCAACCTGGGGCTTCCACGGGTCATACAGACGGTCACATTCTCCAAATGTTTTGTAAAATATTCTATTTCTTGCTTAAGATCATCTAAAATGAAGTTTTCAAGGCACCTCCGCATCTACCTAAGGACGGAGTCAAATGAGACCTGCATAAAAGTACTGGTACGATAAGCAAAATAGCACTTAAAGGACCCAATGTAAATGGACCCAACACTCCGGTACAGACCGGAGTCCTGAAAGGTCACGGTTTCCCTGCAGGCCGGATGGCGCTTCCCACAATCATGCAGCCAATCCCCAGGCAGCTGGCATGACTTTGCTTGTGTCTACTAGTGTACCAGAAGTTAAAATGGGCCCCAAAATGCTGAGAATAGAGCCGCAGGGCTGCGTTCCCATTTCTGCAGGGATGGCAAAGAGGGCAGAGAACACCAGCTTCACAAGTTTTAGCCCCACTGCCATGATGGAAGGTGAAGTGGCCGGGTGTATTGTTTATATTCTTATTTTCTGTATATTATGATGTTTTGACATCGTAAGAGCCCTTCCTGGCTTGGGAGAGGTATCTTAGAGAGCTATCTTTCCCCTGCAACCGGATGCTACGCGCCCAGTTGGAAAACGTAAAACTTCATTGTAGGGGAAACCCGGAGACGCCATGTGCACAAGTGAGGTTTAACAGAGGTTGCGAACGTCTGTGAGGTGTCGGGGACAACCGCCCCTCGCCCCGCGTCCACTCCCCGCTCCCGGCCATCAGGGCGCCGCGCGGCCCTCGTGCCGCCGCCGGTGCTCGTTCAGGTTGGAGCGCTGGCTGAAGGCGCGGCCGCAGTCCGCGCAGGCGTAGGGCCGCTCGCCCGTGTGCGTGCGCAGGTGGCGCACGAGCGTGCAGTTGCGCACGAAGGCCTTGCCGCAGTCCGCGCACGCGTAGGGCCGCTCGCCCGAGTGCAGGCGCTTGTGCTGGCGCAGCTCGGAGCAGCCGCGGAAGGCCTTGCCGCACTCGGGGCAGACGTAGGGCCGCTCGCCCGTGTGCGCGCGCTGGTGGTACACCAGGCCCGAGCGGCCCCTGAAGGCCTTGTCGCACAGCAGGCACGCGTACGGCTTGGCGCCGCTGTGCGTGCGCTGGTGCCGGCTCAGGTTCGAACGGTGGTTGAAGGCCTTGCCGCAGTCGGGGCACGCGTAGGGCTTCTCTCCGGCCGCGGGCCCCCGTCGGGATCCCGGCTGGCTGCAGTGGCCGCAGGGCACGCAGCCCCGCAGGAGGGCGCGCCGGGCCGGGTGCGTCCCCTTGTGGCGGAAGAGGCCGGAGCAGCGCACGAAGGCCTTGCCGCCCTCGTCGCACGCGTACGGCCGCTGGGCCGGGGGGTCGGGGGCCCGGCCGCGCTCGGCACACACTGAGGGGCCCGCGCCCGTCTGCTGCTGCTCCTTGGGGCCGAAGCGCTTCCCGCACCGGGCGCACGGGCGGGGCTCCTGCGGGGCCCTCCAGGCCAAGGCCTCGCTGCACGCGCACGCCCGGGGCCACTTCGCAGAGGGTCCCCGCCGGAGGGGGGTCGGCTGCAGGGTCCTGCGTGCGCACGGCCGGCAGTCCGAGTGGACTTCGCGAAGCTGAGCCCGCGGGCAGCTCTGGAGCCACTCCCGGTGGCCGCAGTGGTCACACACACGGGCCTCCTCCTCCCGGGGCGCTCTGAAAGGCCGTGCCAGGCAAGAGCTGTGGCCGGAGCCCTCAGCGCCCGCAAGGCTCCGACAGGGGCCCTCGCCCTCGGGGGTGAACAGGCCTGGGTCCTGCGGGCAGGCGGGGCCGCAGGGCTCCCGCGCCTGGGGTCCGGCTCCGGCGCTGTGCCAGGCCCGTGGGCCAGGGCGCACGTCGAGGCTGCAGCTACAGGAGCCCCCGCCGTGGGGAGTCTTCCTGCTGCCCGCCGCCCCTCCACCAAGGTTCCCCTTCTGAGTGGGGCGTTTCCCGCCTGGGTCCAATGCGAGGGACCTCGGTTCCTTCTCGGGCCTCTCCTGCCGGCCTGGGGAGGCTCCCTGGGAATCAGCCTTGGGGAGTCCTCCCTGCCCAGCGTTCTGGGCCGGAGCCTCCATCCTGGGGCCGGCCCCTGATGCGGAGTCCTGGTTGCAGGATCTGGAAGAGCAGAGGAGAAATGGAAGTTGGCAGTTCCAGGAGGGGAGAAGTGCAGAACCGAGCCAAAGAATGACGACCCCGCAGCTGATGCCTCTCCGCAGACGGGGAAAGGAGGACCCACAAGAGCATCCTGGAGCCAGTGCCTCCTTCCCCCCACGCCCACCAGGCGTCTCCCAAGCCATGGCCACCACCCAGACCCCTGGCTCTCCCTGCTCCCCAGCATCGGCCCTCCTCCTCCATACTGGCTGCTGAAACACCGTCACCTGGCTTAGGACCTCAGCAGTCTCCCTCCCCCAGCAACAGGGCCTCCCGGTTGTTCAGCTGCCAGCCCCCGGAGTCCCCCCTCTACTCCTGACCACCAGCTTCCCAGTGGCAAGCCCAGCACTCAGGATTCTCCTGGCTCCCTGCCTTGGCTAGGCCTGGCCCCATACACCTGCCACCATCCAGCTCTTCTGGCAGGTATGAGGTGGGACTCAACGGGCAGCTGAGAACTCGGCTGGGGCCCATGCCACAAAGGCCAACACTAGGCCTGCCCCTCCCCTCTTCAGCCAGGTGACCTTGCCTCTCTCAAGCTTGGCAGCCTCATCTACAAAATGGGCATAACTGTAAATGTAAACAGCTTGGCGTGGGAGCTGGCAACCCCCATCCTTCCAGCAAATGTGGACACCAGGAAGGCCTGGTGCCCGCTATTGCTGTTTTCAAATCCCACTGTGGCTATGTTAGTTTTGTTTTGTTGCTGTAACAAATTGCCACAAACTTAGTGGCTTAAAACGATGCAAATTTATTAATATTATCTCACAGTTCTGGAGGTCAGGAGTCGTAAATCAAGGTTTCAGTGACGTTGGTTCCTTGCGGAGGCTCTAAGGGAGAATGTTTGCCTCTTCCAGCTTCTAGAGGCCACCTTCCTTTCTTCCACCTTCAAAGCCAGCAGTAAAACATCTTCAAATCTCTCACTTTCTGGGTCTGTGTCACATCTCCTCATAGGACTCTGACCCTCCTGCCTCTTGTAAGGATGTTTGTGATCACACTGGGCTGACCACCAATAATCCAGACAAGCTCCCCATCTCTGGATCCACAACTTAGTTACATCTTCTAGTTCCTTTGCCCTGTGAAGTAACATATTCACAGGTTCCAGGGACTAGGATGTGCACGTCTTTTGAGGAGCCATTATTCTGCCTACAACAGTAGACTTTTCCCAGCTCTTCACACTGTTTACTGGGAAAACACAGTATATGTGCATCAAGATGCCATTTAGGTAACACAGATGTTTAGCCTGGAGAATTCTTGAAAGATACCTATCAGCTCAGACCAGTCCCATCTGGGGAGGGACTCACTTTGCCAGGCACTTGCAGAGTCAAGGGAAGGGGTTCCAGGGAAGGGGTTCCAATATGCAGCCAGGGTGCTTTGAGGGGTCAGGCAGAGGAGAAGGGCCCACCTGGTGGGCACAATGATTACTTAGGGGGAAAGTGAACAAGTAGGTGAGAAGACTGAAGTTTATTATAAGAGCCAAATTTCTTATTGTTGGAGAAAGAAGTCACAAAAAAAGAAAGGGATAGGCTACAAACCCTATGGCACCATACTGGAGGCAGAGATTGCATTTCTTTCTTTCTTTTTTTTGAGACAGGTTAGTGGTGTTCAACGTCCTCATAAAGTCTGGACATGGACCTGTGAGGTCTTATCAGCCCAAGAGGGTGCGCGGGGAAGTCGAAATAGGAGGCTTTGGGGTGTGCAGGACACAGGCTAACTGCCCAGCCCACAAACCTCACCCCCACTGACAGTCCCAGTGGACACAGCCCCTAGCCCCTATGTTCTATTCTACATGTACAGGCGGCGGGAAGAACAGTGCACCACAAAGAGCGGACGGAATGTCCTCTGAGTGCAAGCACAACTCCGCTCTGTGTCCGTCCTCCCCACAGCGCCTCCATCCTCAAGGATTAGCAAGCGTCAACATTCGCGGGACCTCAACTGTGTCAGTGTCAGAGAACAAGGCCCGGCCAGACCCTGCTCTTACAGTGAGTGAGTAGGGGAGCGTAACAAGAAAAGAAACGAAAAGGAGACGATTTAAGAGGGAAAGAAAAAGACGTGACCATCAAACAAGAACATCGCGGGAGGGCTGGGAAGAGAGGCAGTGGCTTCTTCGGGCCTCTTTGAGGATGGGGCACTGAAGCTGAGTCTGGAGACAGTGAAGGGGGAGCCGCCAGTGCAAAGGCCAGGAGGTGGGACCAGAGGCAGCAGAAACGCGGGTGTTGGCCACGGCGAGAAGGTGGGCTTGATTCTGAGAGCTGTGAACCACTTTGATCGGTCCTGGGCCTGGCGCCTCGCCTCGCGGGCCTCCGTCACACCCTGGACTGGGAAACAGGAGCCAGAACTACAGCAACCTGACCGCCTGGAACTGAAGGTTCCGCGAGCCGCGGCCAGTCCGGACCCAGAGCAAGACACAGGAAGTGCGCGCAGTCACGCCTCCGCCCCGGCCCCCGCGCGGGGGTGGCGAGGGGACGGGGTGGCGGCCGCGCTAAGCGCCTGGAGGCCCCCGCCTCGCAGGCCGAGGTCGCGGGTCCGCGCAGAATGCCACTTACTCGCTGGAGGTGGCCCACACGGGCCCCCTGGTTCCCGCACGCAGCGCGGAGCCTTCCTTCCGCCTCCTCTGGACCGCGGCGGTACTGAGGAGTCGCGGTCGCCGCAAAGGCAGGTGGGAGTCCGCGCGGGGGCCCCTGGGAAACGTAGTCCCGACGCGTCCCACTCCGATGCTGATAAAAAAGCGGGGCGGGGAACTACGACTCCTGGTTGTCCTCGCAACAGAGGCCGGCTCCACCTAATAGGAGACACGCAAACCTGCGTTGTCGCCAAGGAGACGGCGTCCGGGTGTGCGTGCGGTCCCGCCCACCCTGCCCCAGAAAAGCGCGCGATTGGCCAGGACGATGATTGATAGCCCTCTCTCTCAGTCAGATTTCCAAGAGGTCCCAACCCGGAAACGACTTGCCATTCCCAGCCTCGCTCGGGTGGGAGAGTTGGGGGTGGGGAGCGCCCGGGGAGCTCTGCTGTGTCCTGGTGAGCGGGGCTACAAGTGAGACTGATGAAACGAGAATCTCTGGGAGTCAAGACTCCAGTTGATTCTAATATGCGCAGCCCCGTTGGAGAACCACGCCCCCCCATCCTCAAAGGTGATGCTAACCCTACTGGCTCTCCTGGGTGGGAAGAGCTGATCAGGCTTCCTACCCATTTAAGTTACCCTTATCTTGTCCCCATCTGTTGCCTGGCTCCTGCCCTCCATAAGGACATCTAATTTTGTTAGCCAGTCCAGCACATGGATTGCATTCAGCGACCCAGCGTGCCGCACCTGCATCTTCCACCACCGCATCTCCTTCCAGGGCGGCAGGACTGCCTCGCTCCCTTTCTCGATCCTGTAGGTGTCTGGACATCGAATGCCCTGCCAAGGTGTCTGTCTTTCTGTCCAGGGACAAAATCAGGGCTTATTTTTATCATGCTCATTGAGGTTGCAGAGGCGGCTGGAAGGCAGTTGGAGGGCGGCTTGCCTGTGTTGGTCCCCTGGTGGCGCAAGAGCGAGTTGCACATGAATGCCTTGACTCAGTTGCCTCAGAGAAAGGGGTGCAGCTGCTGGCCGGCTGTGTGGATGTGCACATGCTCGACCTCCTGCTGTATGTGTGTGGTGGACAGAATAATGGACCCCAAAGATGTCCACATCCTAATCCCCAGAGCCTGCGAATGTTACCTCAAATGGCAAAAGGGACTTCGCAAATATGATTAAATTAAAGATCGTGCTATGGGGGGGTTATCGTGGGTTATCCAGGCGGGTCTTAAATAGAATCACAATGGTCCCCTAAGAAGGAGGCAGAAGAGCCAGAGTCGGAGAAGGAAATATGACAGAAGCAGAGGTCGGAGTGACGTGGCCACTGGACGAGGAATACAGGTGGCCTCCAGAAGCTGATTTCCTAGCAAGGAACAGATTCTCCTCTGGAGCCTCCAAAAGGAACACAGCCCTGCTATGTCGTCTTCATTTTAGCCCCTAAGACTCATTTTGGAATTCTGACTTCTAAGCTGTAAGGTAATAAATGCATGTTGTTTTACACCACTAACTTTGTGGTAATTTGTTATAGCAGCAAACAGGAAACTAATACAGTCTCCGTGAGGCACTAGGGGGTCTTCGATGTTCTCCAGCTCTGGCCCATCTCCCTTTTGAACAGAGCAAAGGCAAGCCTCAGGTCCAGAGCCTCTGCCTTCAATATCGTCAACCACAATTTAACCACCATCCCCTTTCCTGGTGTCTATGCCTGTGGTTCCCTTCCTCTGGCACATGGCTCTGGTTTTATATTTTGGGTCGTGCTGTCAAGTTACTGTCGTTTCCTTTTCAATACATGAATCTAAGGAAAAACAAGTGAGTTGATGTAAATCAGTGGTTCTCAACCTGGGGACAGTTGTGCCCCTCAGGGGATACTTGGGGTTGTCACAACCAGGCAGGGTTGGGGGTAGGGAGTGTAACTGGCATCAGTGGATGGAGGACAGGGAGGCTGCTAAACACCCTAAAATGCACAGGACAGCCGCCACAACAAAATGGCAATAGTGCCAAGGTAGAGAAAAGAAAACCACGAGGTACAGGTGGTACATTCTAGGGGTGAGGACTGTCTGGGAAGTACTGCATTTGAGCAAGGTGGAATGGGCTCGGATCTCAGTGAAAAAAGCTAGACACGAAAGGCCACATACTCTACAATTCCATTTCTGTAAAATGTCCAGAATAGGCAAATCCGTACAGAAGGTATGACTAGTAGAAACTAGGCTAGCAGTTGCCAGGGGCTGGAGGGAGGGAAAGAGGGAATGCAGCTAATGGATATGGGGTTTCTTTGGGGTGATGAAAATGTTCTGGAACTAGACAGTGGTGATGGTTGCAAGACTTTATGAATATACTAAAAAAACACGGGATTGACTTTAAAATTATCTTGTATGT